AGCAGCGGCGCCGGTGTCCCGGTGGGTAGGGAGGGGCCTGCAAGGACTGCGCCCAGGGTGGTGGGAGGTGCGGTGCGCCTGAGCGCGGCGGCAGCGCCCTCGGAGCGTGGGCTGCCTCGGGTCTCTCGGCAAGGGGCGCGAGGCCTGGAAAGGAGGCGGATGGTGCCAGGCGCTTCAGGTGTGCTGCAGAGACCGCAGCGGGATGGCGGCCTGAAGCATGCGATTGTTTGCTGTATAGTGGGAGCCTTGGGAACCCAGCAGCCCCACCTTCTGCTGCACTTAAGGGCTCGGGCATTGTTTTTTTTATTTCTTGCGATTTAGAAAAAGTTATTTCCCGTAAGTAGTCCTGAAAGGGACGATGCAGTTAAGAACTTTGTTATTGAAATGTGGTGCAGAAAAGTGTCATGCAGAACAGGGTGGTAGGATTTGAAGAGATGGGAGTTATTCAAATGTTGTGAGGGAATCCAATTCTTTGTAGAACCTGCACTTGAGTCAAGAGCCATGTGGTCAGCCAATGAAATCGCTGGGCTATGTTACCTGCATTATAGGACCAGACTTCCTAAGCAGGGGAAACCAGATCCAAACAGGGAATGGACTTCCCTGGCAGCTGTTGTCAAAGTGGAATCTGCAGCCCAAAGAGAGGCTCTCGATAGTCCAGGAAACCTGGAGGGTAAGAACGAGATTTGGGGATAGGGGTGGGAGAGGAGGGAGAGGCAGAGAAGGTTCTTGATGCTTTCTTTTTATTTCCGTTCTTTTAAAATGTCTTTAAAAAAGCACACACCCTTTCCTATTCCATTGCAGTTTCCACCCAAATTCTTTACTCTTTGTGACTGTAAACTTTGCTATTGCTGTGATTCACAACTTCTGCCTGGAAAGAGGTGGTTTTAGTGAAATGCCATTCTTCCCAGACTGTAAACAAGACAGTGAAAGCCTTCATTTGGCTTTTGTTCAATATGTGGTGAAAGTCTAGGCAGAACCTGAATTCCTAATATAAACTCTGGAAAAAACATGTTTAATTTGATAGAATCCTAGAAAGGTTTGCTCTCCTATTGTGTTACTACATTTTGCATTTGTGTTAGTTCGTCATCATCTTTTCCCTTAGTGGCACTTCAGTGTTGCCGGGCAGATTGTATACTATATTTATTATTTCTTATGTGCCTGAGGAACGCTATGGCAGTGTCTGCTGTGTGCTGCCTAGCTTACTTATCAGGCCTGTATAAGCATTCTTCCTATGCGGTCATAGACTTTTGCTAGCACTGGTTCTTCTACCTGCTGCATTCAGTTCTTGATCTGATACTGTTTTCTTTTCTGTAAGGTTGCATGGTGTGCCTCTCTGTATATGGTCTTCTATTCTGTGTTCTGTGTGTTGTCTTACCAGAATGACTGCAGGAGAGTAATGTTTCTGGCAATGTTTCTGGCAATGGTTACAGGCTATAGTTTTTTCAGTTAATGTTTATTTTTCAGTAACTAAGGAAGTTGTTGCTATGGGAACTGGAACAAAATGCATTGGCCAAAAGAAAATGCGAAAAACTGGTAAGTATGGTGTGAAATTCAAGAATAGACTACCTCTGCTACCTTCTTTCTTGCTGGTATCATAGAATCAATGAGAATGTCCAAGGCATTCTGCTCAGACTTTTTCTGGATTGAAGCCAGAAGTGTAAGATAGACTTTGATTCATCAATGAGAGAGGAGCTTAGGCAGCCACAATGGCTGCACTTGCTGCCTCAAAACTGAATTAACTCTTTATGTCTGCAAATGTGTAGTTTAGGCCCTGTGTAACTGCCAGTCATGGGTTGGGAGATGAAAACCCACAACTGGTGCTCCAGGTGCTCATGAGACAAACAGCCTTGTTTATTATTCAGAACTCGCTTAAATACCAATTCGAATCTCCTGGACTAGACAGCCATTGGCTGATATCTCTCTCCCTGCCCAGCTTCCTGGCCAGTGGTGTGCTTACTTCTCAGCTTGGATGGGATTGGCTGAGGGTCCCCTGTAACTTATCTAGGGACATGTTCAGATATGAACTAGGCTAGCTGAAATGTATTTGCGTTATGGACGGATTTACTTTGTCCAGTCCAGGCCAGCTATACTGTGACAGCCCTGAGTCTACATATTCAAAGATTTCACAACTAAAAGCAACATATAAGCAAAACAAAATATAAGCAAAATAATTGTGCTTTGGTCACCTGTTGCAGTCTAGTTTTGTTGGGGTCTGATGTAAGAGGTACCACTGCTGGTACTAACCAGCAGGAAAATACTAATAGGGTTTTTCTCCCTTACTGCATGTTTTCTTCTTTACGGCATATTACTCCTAAATAGTTTTAAGTGTTGTACAATAAATGTATGGGATAGATACATGGCTTCTCACAACTACAATTTCTTACTATGTATTGCAGGAGGCTTTCCTTGCTCTATGTGTCCATTTTTAAATTCATGATGTATCTGTCTCCTCTGCTAGGACAGGGAAGAAGCTATAGTAATGATGAATGCTGAAAAGTGGCAAAGCGGGAAAGGTGTTCATGCATATGTAGGTACAGAGTTTCTGCCCTCTTTAGACTTCAGAGGAGGAATAGAGTGAGATATGAGAAAGGGTTTTGGCTGTATCTGTTTTAGGCTACTTTATGTTCTCTGTAATGTCCTTCATTTTGAAATTAATTAGTGGAGCAAAACAGAGGAAACTAGATTCTGTATCTTAGATTTTTGGGCTATTTCTTGTGATTTGGCCATCTCAGAAAAGTTTTAATGCAGACATTTTTCTAACTGATTTAGGAAAATTATGATTAAACTGTTGTACCATTTACAATGTAGATATTAAATGTCTAAATAGAAAATTGACTAGGAAAAAAGTAACACTAGTTTGTTGCCTTTGTTTGTCTTCAGTGATCTCAAATTTAGAAAATATTTCTTCTTATAATAACATTTTTAACTTGGTGGTAGGTCATGTTAATGGTTATCTGTTAGATCACTTCTAAACTTTTAAAACTGTTAGAGAGGACTTCTATCACTTGGCCTTTTACCCCTGAAATAAAAGATGATCTACCGCTCCTGTTCCTTTATACACCATAACAGGCAGATACTGTAGGAAAGCTGGAGATGTGCAAACTTAGTAAATACCAGAATTATTTGCAGGAAAAAAAGTTTAAATTGTAGGATATAGTTGAAAATTCAACCAAAAGCTTAACAAACACTTGAAATTTTCTGGCAGTATTTTGAGAATATCAAGATTTACCATTGAAAACAAAAGTCAGGAAGATTTTGAAGGAGGGTAGTATTTATTCAACTCAAAGGCTTTCCAGTATCAGAAGAGTTAAAATTTGGTATTCAAACAAGTCTCTGACTTGCAGCAGACTGAATACTTTTATCCTTTATTTGCATAGGCTGTTGACCTCCTTTTGTGGTGATTGGAAGTTTAAATATCTTGAAATACTCTAAAACCAATGGTAAACATTCATATACTAACAAGTATGTAGAGCTGTCCTATGTCAAATGCTATTTGTTTTGTCTTCTTTTTAGTCATGATTTAGTATTCACATTTGGGTTTTGCTTTAGGAGATATTCTGAATGACAGCCATGCTGAAATTTTGGCCAAGAGGAGCTTCCAGAGGTGAGGCATGAATGAAGTTTTACTCAATGCTGTTACTCAGTGCCACCTGAAGTTGTTGTGATACAAATCATTTTGACCTATGGCTGAGATAGCCAATTTTGTATCTTTAGATATGAGAATGTAGTGAAAGACTGCATTACGTCTGTGTGGGCAACACTCTTTTTTCCTGTTGTCAGCAGGATTTTAGTCTAATTTTTATTTTTCTAGGTAGTGTTAAGGCCTTTTCACAACAGCTTGCTTCCTCCTTGTTCTTGTGTAGCCTTTGTATGAAGAATTAGGATCTGATTTCAAGTGACGTCAGTGCAGATCTGATGACTACTAGTCAAGGATAGAATTTTTGCTCTTTCCCACATGCCAGTCCTCTTGTTTACGTGGGTTAAACTGGTTCAGGGAACTGAGCTAGGGGAACAGTAATTCTGCAGAAATTAGTATGTTTCTTGCAATTTGATGCCACTAAACTGAGTCTCGTAAAAATCAGATGAGTTGCAGAGTTGGTAAATATACAGACATTGGGAGGAGAGAACCTTATCTATACAGTTTGTGATGGTTAACGTTAACTCCACTGAATCTAACTCTTTGAGGTCTATTATTAAAGTTCCAATGATGTGTTTACATTTATTATGTTGCCATATCTCTGTAAAAGCATAACTGAGTGGCTCCTGATAGACTCCCATCAGGAAAGAGCAGGCTCTAAAGGGTGTCTAAGTTTTGTTGTCTTCTCATGCATCAAAAATGAAGTCAATGTTTCATGAAAACTTTCTGCCTAACAGGTATCTTCTCCATCAGTTGTGGCTTGCAGCTTCCCATCAGCAATGTATCTTTAGTCCGGGAACTGAAACTGGGAAATGGAAACTCAAACCAAATATCATATTTATTTTCTTCTCCAGTCATACCCCATGTGAGTATGCTGGAGTGAACCAAGTACATTGCTCCCGCTTGTAGAATCTTTTGTGCCCCTTGTCTTTCTTTAGTCTGTCTTTGGTCTGGATTGAGAACGAGGAAGTAATTCATGTACCGATACGTGCCCAAAGATGTACCTGACTGGTGCTCCACAGATACATTTGGCATTTTATCTCACTGGATGTGATTAATGAGAACTCAGTAAGTCTGATGTACTGCTCATTATATAGTGGAATGTTTAATTTTAAAAAATAATAGCTATTATTTTTCTTTCCAGAAAATAACATACTTGTCAGAGGTCCTGCCATATTGCCTAGTTGCTTTGTTTCAAACATTATCTCCATGGATTAAAATTTTAATAAAAAATACTGGCATTTACCACCATTCCTAAAAACAGCCAAACAAAAGATACCCCACACCCAATCAACAGCCACCCCCAACCCTATAAAGCAAACAAAATAAAAAACCCAAATGAACACAAAAAACCCCCCAAAGCAACGAGCAAACAAAAAAACCAAAACCAAGCAAAAAATTAAAACAGAGGAGAAGAGCCAATACCAACTCATGCAAAACCCCCCAACAAACCAAAACCACACTCCTGAAAAACAGGAAAAAAAGCCCCATTCATGAAACATCTCTAGCTCCCCAAGACAACGTTTCTTAGGGAATGTAATGAAACTTGGAAAACATTCTTTATATGTTTAGAAAAACCAGCACCACAAAGCTGAAGACCTGTTGACAGAATGAAGGAATGGGGCCCCTTGGTCTACAAATGTATTGGGCATCTTGATGTTACCATGCTCTCTCACTGGTGTGTTCTTTAACTGCTAGTCTGCTACAGAGCAAAGGAGTTTTAAGAGCTCTCAAAATATGCCTTATCAGTACATCATAGATTGAATTGGTTCCACAGACATCTTCATGATTTTGAGTGCATTTCTGGAATATGCAATATTATTTTTCCTCATTAGTGCATTTGAGAATAGAAATTATGTCTTCAAATTTATTGGTGAGAATAATTTCATTATTTTCTTTTTCTCACATTGTGAGAAATTTCTCATATAAATCAGCAGGCCTGCCAGGCTTGCTTTGCTTTGAACTGTGCTTCAGAATTTTGGTTCTGAGCTTGTTTCAGTGATACAGATTAAGGTTTTCACCCTTGCTTGACAGATTATTCTTTCATTATTCTTTTGAGGTTCATATTGTTAGGTTAGATCAGGCTGGTTTTCCTGTGAGTCTTCAGCACTGATGGAGTCTGTCAAATGCCTCTATTACCTTTTACTTTATATATTGTAAATTTTACTTTCTTGATTATTTCTTACATAGTATGCAGAGCTTGAAATTAAGTTGGCTCAAATTTCAGTGAGATTTGATTCAGTGTTGCACAGGACGATGTTGTTTCAAAAATGTGTTCTCATAGTTAAGTTTTCCTGAGTGCAGATCTGTGAAAGCTACTAGTAGTTGTAATATTACTGGCATGATGTGTTCCAGTCACAAGATGTTTTTTTGGCCAATTTTATGTTATTTCTTTTGTTCCAGGTGGAGATGCTTCTATTTTTCCAATCAGTGAACCACAGAACCAGTTTTCTAAGCCAGTGACTGGAGGTTATGCCGTTGGACAATCTGCAGAATGCAGAAGTAACCATAATCACTTGTATCCAGAAGATAAAAGGAAATCAGAGAAGATGGCAAGTAATCATATAATCAAGAGAATGAAAAGTGATGATGCTGATTGTTTTTCCATAATCACTGAAGACCTGGCTGTTCATGAATCTGTGAAACAAAAAGACGCAAATCAAAAGAGCTGTAAATGTTCTGCAGAGATGCAAACAACTAATGAGACAGGCTTAGTGAGACCAAGGGTAGTAGATGTTCATAGAACTGGAGCAAAATGTGTACCTGGAGAGTTGGATGATGCCCGAATACCTGGACTGGGGTACCACTGTGTAGGATTATTACGAGTGAAGCCAGGTCGAGGAGACCGAACATGCTCTATGTCCTGCAGTGATAAACTGGCTCGCTGGAATGTGTTAGGGTGTCAAGGAGCTCTTCTGATGCATTTTCTGCAGTATCCAGTGTATCTGTCTGCAGTTGTAGTGGGGAAGTGTCCGTATAGCCAAGAAGCTATGCAGAGAGCAGTTATTGAAAGGTAAGTGCTCCCCTTAGGCTGTGCCTGGAAACAGTGAGCTTTGGAAGACAATGCGTGTCATACAAGTATTAGAACTTTAGTAAACTTTTGATAATATGTCTTCTAAGATGCTGATAGAGAATCTGTTCAAGTGTGAGCTGGATGAGCAGACATGTGTGTTAAAAACTATCCTGAATGACTGGGCCCAGAAGGTAGTGATCATTGGGTGAAGTGTAGTTAAAGGTGTGAGTAGCTATGTACCCCAGGGATCAATACTAGATCCAAACTTACTTAATATCTTCATTAATCAGTCATCTGGGTGATGGTGCAGACTGTATGCCCAGACAGTTTGCTGAAGACTCAAAACCAAGGAGTGGCTGATTGGCCGGGGCATTGTGCTGCCATCCGGAGCAACCTCTGCAGACTGGAGAAAAATAGGAACTTCATAAAGTTCAGTAAGGGGAAGTGAATACCTGCACCTGGGAAAGAACAGTCCCATGTACCAATATATGCTGGTGGCTGCCGAGATGGAAAGCAGCTTCACAGAAAAGAATTAGGGGTTCCTGCTAGATGTGAAGTTGAAAATGAGCCAGTAGTGTGCCTTCCAACTCAGACTCTAGCAACAAAGAAGGCTAATGGTGTCCTGGGCCACTTCAGGCAAAGTATTGCAGCAGGTCCAGGGAGATGATCCTTCCCCTGGATTGATACTGGTGAAGCCACATCTGAAAGGCTGTGTCTGGTTCTGGGCCTCTCAGTACAAGAGGGATGTAGACATACTGGAGAGAGGCCAGCAAAGGGCTTTGAAGATGCATAATGGATTTTTAGAATCTCTCATATGCAGAGGGCTGGGACTATGCAGCCTGGGGAAGAGAAGGCTTGTGGGCATCATACCAATTTGTATACATACCTGAAGGGAGGTGGCAGAGAAAATGGAGCCAGGCTGTTTGCAGTGGTGTTGGTGATAGGACAAGAGGCGATGGGCACGAACTGAAGCACGGGAGGTTCCCTTCGAACATCAGGAAACACTTGCTTACTGTGAGGGTGATGGAGCACTGGCAGAGGTTGCTGAGAGGTTGTGGAATCTCCCATCTTTGAGTTACTCAGCGGTGATCTGGACACTGTCCTGAGCAGATGACTGTAGGTTGCCTGGCTGGAGGAGGGGTGGTTAGACTAGATGACCTACAAGAGGTCCCCTCCCACCTCAGTTATTTTCTGGTTTATTGAAGTGGTTCAGGACATGTAGTATGTGACAGCTTGTACTGGTCAGCTGGAAGAAGCGTTATACTGGAGAGGCAAAGTTTATAAGAATTTTCATGGTGGTAAAAATTTGTCTGCTTCTTTAATCTCAGTTACATCCAAGATCTGATTTTTCTCACTGCTGTGAGAGCTTTCAACGCAACGTGTCATTTAAGGAAGATCTATGTGAATGATGAACTGCACTGGTGCAAAATGAGGAAAGTTATCTGTTGTGCACTGGCCTTATTTCTCAGATTATTCAGTTGATGCAAACTATCCCAGCAACCAGGACAGGAAGTAGACGTTTTTCTTGCTTGGGAGGCTAAGTCAGTGGAGTAGAGCAGTAGAGAAGAGTAAGTGGATTTGGGCAGAGTGAAGGGAAAGGAAAGGAAGAAAAAAACATGGGAGCTGAACCATTCTTTTTAAGTGGCAGACCATTTCATAAGGTTTGACTTGGTTTAGTAACTCCTTTCCTCTATACCCATGATCCTTCTAGGATGATTATGAAAGAGGTTATAAGTCTATTAATGGAGAAACTCTGGTGACGTACCCAGTGGAGCTTTCTGTATAATCCTTTCCTTGTTCTGTAAGACGTAACAAGAACTTTCTTAGCCTTGTTAGTCCTAGTGCAGTCAGGCACTTCTTCAGACTCTTGGATCTGAAAATATGAATCTCAGTCTTAATTCTTGCTCTAAGTATTGTAGTGATTAAACATATGCTGTATTTTCCTCACTTGATCCTAAAGTCATTCAGTATGAACAGTAATTTAAGGTAACAAAGATTATACATGGAGCTGTAAGTATATTTTGTATGTTTTTAGGCTTTGGTTATAAATGTTTAGGCTCATAAAACAGTTCCCAATGGAATGCAGTTGACTATGTGAATACTTTATTATTTTTATTTTTCTTTGTGATTGCAGAGGTGTATTGCAGTTTTTGTCCTGCATACTTAATTGATTATAATAGCTTTTAACTAGACCTTTTTAAAAACCAAATCATCATAGTTTTTTTAAGATGGACAAGGTTATAATAAACTAATGTGGCATTGAGGTTTAGTAAATATTTTTCTGAAGGGAACAAATGCCTTCCAACCTCCTGTCTTACCTAGATAACTGATGTTCAATTCAGTTTTAATGTAAAGGAAATTTATTTTAGATAATGAAGGAAAATTGTGCAAATGGTCTTGTTTGGGAAGAACATACTGAAAATCACTTGCATTTTTCTGTGTTTACTTTAGGTGTCAGCACATCTCATCTTTACCAGATGGTTTTCTCACTCAGGAGGTTAAGCTGCTGCAATCAGATCTTCAATTTGAACACAGCCATCAGGCAATTCAGGAAGTTCAAAGTAACAGCAAAACAAAGCTTGTTCCTTGCAGTGCAGGTGAGTTCATTCGGGCTAGTTGGGTAACAGTGTGCAAAAGCCCAAATAGAAATGAGATGGGTTTGGTTGTTTGGACTGGAACATCATTCCTTGCCAGTATACTAGCGGCAAAGTACGAAAAGCAAGAAATTAATTTCAGGTTAATAGTATTTGTCTCAGTTTCTAGTTTCCAGTAGGGAGTTTTCAGACTGAATAAAAACTTGGTTGATGTCATTAAGAATTTATAATTTAAACACTGACAGAAAATAGCCAGGGAAAACAAAAGCCGAGTACAAGAAGAAAACAAAAGACTTCTTGTTTCAGTTAGTTTTGCATTCTCCTTGCTAATGAACAAAAGACTTGCCATGCTGAGTTATGTTTGTAATTGCTCCAAAAATCTGTCAGTGAAGAAACAATACAGAGTAGTATAGTGTAAAAGTTGTATTGATAGATATTTTGGGCATGGCATTTTTTGTCATGGTGATGAATGAATGCTTAAATCTCAATGTGATTTAGCAGCATGGTCTCACTCGGAAAAAACCCAAAAAACTGAACTGCCACTCTATGTGTATGGCTAAGCAGTTTCTTTAACTTGGACGTGCCTGCCTTCTGCTGTTGTATACTTTTTCGTCTTAACCAGAACTGGAAGTTTTTCTGTTGCAATAGAGCTAGGGATAAAATAGAATGGAAACAAAATGTTCCTTAATGGAATTTACATTCATTAAATTTGAGTTATTTACAAGTGCCAGGAAGGAAAATACTTTAAGTTTGTGAGATAGGAAACAGATTTTGTCATTGAAAAATAGTGACAGTTGAGTTAGCAAAAAGGCTTGAAAGCAGCTGTGACTAAATTCACTCTATGTCTTTCTTGCTGTACACTTCTCAGGTCATTTTGTTAAATGAATATGAATGGTGCCTTAGCATGCTTTTTTATGTCAGGTGGTTTCTTTTCATGGGGTGAAAAGCAGAATAAACTCTAAATTTAGGGTTGTTACACAGTGTATTGAAGGATGCTTGATGGGACCATTTCAGCTGTTATTTTAAGAAGATACCAGTGCCTTGAGATAATTATGAAAGAAGTGAAAGAATAGAAAATGTTTTCATTTTTAAGTAACTTTGAATCTGCTTGTCAGAAACTGGTATCTTCTAACCAGGTGATTTTTAGATATGTCACATGTGGAGGATTTAATACCAGTGACATGTATCTAACGTTTTTTCATGTTATACAGGATGGTAATTTAGAGTAATTAAGAGTAATACAGCATTGTTCTTGAATCCCTGTGTAAGTACAGTCGGGATTTAGCAGAATACAATTGCTGCATACAGCTGAATTGTAATACAAGGGTGAGTAACATAAGCAGTCTTTGAGCATCCTGAATAGCAGCATGGTCTTAAGAGTGAATGCAATGTGCAACTGTTTTGCCTGTTAGGAACACAGAGAAGAGGGAGAATTTAGGAGACAGAAGCTGTCTCATGGTAGCAGAAATTGAAGAACCTGCTGTTATGCTACGGAGGAACAGATTGGACATGTCAGTTTCTGCTGACATGCTGCTGATGCTTTGCTGATTACTTAGAAATTGTAAGGTATTGTATGCAGAGCTTCAGCATTAAGAAGTTTACAGTCTGAGATGATCACAAAGTTCGCAGACTCGGGGTAGAGTTTAAGGCTGTTGGCACTTGCTATCTCTTCCAACAAATCATTTTTATTTGACTACTAGCTAATAATGTTTTTCAAGTAAAGTCTCCAAATATTTGGTGTATGTCAGTTATCACACATGAAACTACTTAGAGTACACAGTAAAATAATAGCAGAAACTAAATTAAGAAGGAAAACATAGAGGAACTGGTGCAAGTAGTTTAGAGCAGTATTTCACAGCCTGATGTGAAAATAAGCATCTAACTTGGAAATTTCTTCATACATTGTCCAGGCATGATGCACAAAAGAAAGAATCCCCCTAAGAAATGGAGAATTACAAAGCTGAAGGCCAGATATTTAGAGGCATGGATTGTTAAATTATCTAATTAAGATGAAAGCCCTGTGTGTGTGTGTTTTCATGTTTTTAAATCGAGCATTCTTTCAGATGCTGGAGTTCTGGCACTAGAAAACCATGGTACTCTTTCTAGTTTGAATTATTTTGGGAAGCAACACAGGAACAAATAGAATGAAAGGAACTGTTGGGTTCTGCTTTTGTGATAAGAGCATCTCCCTTGTTCATAACAATTTCTTTAACAGCTATCAGTTGGAGTGCAGTCCCTGAACAACCTCTGGATGTCACCTCAGACGGCTTCCGCCAGGGAACAACAAAGAAGGGGATTGGGAGCCATCAGAGTAGGTATGAGAGTGTTATCTTGCATGTCTTTGTCAGCTCATGTGATATTGTCAGAGCGGGAGGAAATCTAGGGAATGGTGAAGAAGGGGGAAGATAGAGAGCAGGGGGAAGGGAAGAGTTGCTGTTTAAGGGAAGAGAGGGCAATTGGAATAATGAAAGCTAAATGAGAATTAACAAATTTATTATATTTCTTTGTCACTACTGAGAACATTATAGATAATGGTGGTGAGGGACTGTGATCAGTTTTTATTGAAAGGATGTTTACTGTTGAAGGAAACAATTTTTGCTTTTGTTTTTATTTTGTTTTGTTTTTTGTGGGTTTTTTTTTGGTTGATGACTGTGAAGGAAATGTGTGCATTGCAGGTTCTCTTTCTAGAGATTTTTTTTTTTTTTCTTTAATATCAGGCCAGCTGTCCTGCATGTATGGTCATTAAAAGTGTAGCTTTGAAACATGAGTTTCTTCCTCAAAATTTGAAAATGTGTCAAAATGATGGCAGCACATTCCTAGCATGAACATTTCACCTTTCCAACTGTCATCTTGGCACTGTGCTCTTTAAGAAATCCTCTATCAACAACCATAGTTTAAAGAAATAGTTACATATTTTTCTTGAGGTAGAGAGGAATTACTCATGAGCATCTGCAGGCAAATTTCCCCATCTCTGTGTTACCTTCATTTAAGGTGAGATGGCCAAAATTTTCATTGCTCTGTGGAAATTCAGCTTGAGGATTGCGGTTCAAATTAGCTGTTGGCCGATTATACTACCAGTTTATCAATGGTCATATTGTTCATGTTTCCCGGATTTTTTGGGAGGATGATGATGATGATCGTGACAAGGGGTGAATAGCACAATAAGTACAGCTTAGACAATTATTGTGGAGAATTGATTCATATGCCTGCAAGTTGCACAGTCTGAACTTCTTGAAGTTAGGCCTGATTTGACTGAAGTTTATCCAGGTATATCCTAGTATTCTCAAATTTTCTGTGGAAAAAAGAGGGCCAGGAACTTTGTGGTTTGTGACCAGCATTGGTGTCTGGGGTATTTCTAATACAGGTGACCTAAGTGACTTTAAGTGCACCTTTTAAGATGGGCTCTGTATGCACTGTAGAATATTTATTTTCAGTGTGCCGTATGTATTCCAGAAGACATATGAAAGATCAAACAAACCAGCTACCCCTTTTTCCAGTAGGCTTAAATTTGTTACATAGCATTTGTGCATCAGCTCTAAAACTTGAGAGCCATCTGCTACCTGACAGCACAAAAGTGTGAGAACTCGATTATTGTTGAAAGATCCTCTTCTCAACATGTGCTTGAAATTCACTAAAACTTTCAAAAGTTATTAGAGCCTAGAAGACTGTGATTACAAGCATCTCATTTCCTTAGGAAATCAGGATTAAAAACAATGTCAATGAACAAGTAAACTATCCGTGCTTTTGAGGTAAACAGTCACAAAAGAACTTTAATATTGAAAATAAGGAATTTACAGCCTTATTTGAACTGGTGGTGGTAAATAATAAACAAGACTTGTATTTCTACATTCTTCTTCCTCTCAAGAAATCTCAGGATGATTGCTGGGAAGTGTTGTTTGAGGTTTTATTTCCCCCTTTCAATATGCTAGATAACATTAAATACCAAGGAAGGTAAAGCTGATTGACTAAAAGGAATTTGTGAGTAAATGTCTGGTATGTGCTTTTGTTAATGCTTAATTAACTAAATCACGAACAGCTACAAGATGAAATTTTGACAGATTAACTTGAATATTAAAATTTAGAGCATCTTTGTATGCCATCACTACTAATGGAGTTCAGCAGGGCTCTTGTTTTAGCGCCAGTGCTTTTCAGCATCCTAATAAATGACTTGGATGCAGGACTCAAAGGTACACTAAATAAGTTTGCCAATGACATTAAAATGGGAGGACCTGTTGACTCCCTTGAAAGAAGACAGGCCCTGCAGAAGGACCTTGACAAATAACAGGGTTGGGCAATCACCAACCATGCAGAGTTTAACAAAGACAAATGCCAGTTTCTGCACGTGGCACAGGGTGACCCTGTATGTATGGACAGACTGGGAAATGAGAGGTTGGAAAGCAGCTGCAGAAAAGAACCTGGGGATCCTGACTGATGGCAAGTAGGATATGAGTTGTTCCTGGCAACCAGGAGGGCCACTTGCATCCTGGGGGACATGAGGCCCAGCATTGCTGGCTAGGTGAAGGAGGGAATTGTCCCACTCTGCTCTGCACAGGTGTGGCCTCACCTCCTAGGGGCAGTTTTGGGCACAGGAATACAAGATAAAGCTCTAAGCGTCCAAAGCGGGGGCCATCAGGATAATGAAGGGTCTGGAGGGGAAGCCCTACAAGGAGCAGCTGAGGTCACTTGGTTTGTTCAGCCTGGAGAAGGGGAGCCTGAGGGGAGACCTCACAGCAGGCTTACAACTTCCTTGGGAGGTGACACAGAGGTGCAGGTACTGTTCTCTGCTCTCTTGTCACCAGCGATAGGGCCCGAGGAATGGCTGGAGCTGTGTCAGGGGAGGTTTAGGCTGAATATTAGCAAAAAGGTTCTTCACCCAGAGGGTGGTTGGGTGCTGGAACAGGCTCCCCGGGGCAGTGGTCACAGTGGTCTGAGATCAAGGAGCATTTGGACAATACTTTCAGGTACATGCTGGGATTATTGGGATTTTCCTCAGCCAGGAGTTGGACTCAGTGATCCTTATGGAGATTCTATGATACTATGCCATTTTTGATGTTCTTAAAATACATGCTACCGACGTAGGAAGATTTTTTTCTTGATTGATTTTGTTTTCAGTGCTTCTGGAGAATCAGCTTGCACTTCTTGGAGAACTGAATCAGTCATTGTTAAAACAAGTATGCAAACATAATTAAATAGAGGAAACAGCTGGGCCATTCAAAACCAAACTATGCTTTATAAGCAGTGATTCTGGTTGCCATTCTTTGGGGAAATAGAAGGGCTCAAAGCTGATGAATGTATATAGTATCTTCTAAAGATCTTTCAAACTTTGACTCACTTTAATTTTGATGAGCCTCTTTGTATTTAACTGCCCTGCAGCTGTTATTGAATGTATCCTCGTCACCATTGTGAAAACTTCAGCATTGTTCCAGATATTTGTGTTCCTTCTTTTATTTATTTTTGAATAATACAAAGTTTAACACTTCGAAAAAGCCTTCGGAGTCCTTTGCTTGTTTGATCTGTTCCGGGACTAGTCCTTCTGGCTAAACCTTACTGCAGAATTGATGACAGTGCAGTTTCATGCACTGTCGTGATTTCATGAAGATAACAGTGTGATATTAAAATGTTCTTTCTGCAAACTGGTGACTGCTGGCTGGGAGAATGGGGGCAATGCAGCTTTTTGTCAATATAGCATTTAAAACTAAGGGAAAAGGCAGGTGGGCAGCTTGGATGGGGTAGAGAGGTTTTTTGATATTCTGTCAAATATGTTTAGCTGGAATGTACTGCTGTGAGGTATAAGAGGGAGTGAATTTATGATTTTTTTATTCCATCAGAATTTCTGATTTTTAATTTTTTTTATATCAGATCCAAAATCTGTAAAGTGGAACTCTTCCATAAATTCCAAAAGTTGGTGATAAGTATTTCACAAGAGGATCTACCAGACACTCTACGGTAAAGACATCATCATTACCTTTAGAAGAGTGAATATATGTTAATGAAACCAAAGACTACTGTGATGATACAGTATATGCTCATGAATCTCATTTTAGAGAAGTCCATTGTTAAACTTTGATACTTGAAAAAATGTGGAAAGAGATACAAGATGAGTAAGTAGTATCTTTTTTCGAAAACTGTGAGCTATTAGATCAGCTGCCTGCAGCTCTCTACCCTTGGTGCTATTCAAACCCTGCATCCCAAAATTGCTATGGAGTTATTGATATCTGGTTGGTGTTCAGTAATTCTATCAAAGTCCACTTCTTTGATTCACAAGAAGGAAGAGCTTGAGTAGGAGTAAACCCCCCCCCTTTTTTTTTTTTAAGTCTAGGTTAAAATCTGTTTTCATCTTAGCGTATGGTGGAGTAAGAGTGAGATAGTGCTCTTTCTGCATTTTTCTCTCATATGGTTGGTAAGGATAGATAGGGCTCTTACTGCGATGCATATGTTACAGAAACAGAGACCCGGGGAGAAAATAAAGCAGTTTTTGTCTGAGGAAACCATAATTGGAATTTTTCTTTACATCATTAAAAACAATTTGGTTTATCAAACTGGAGTTAATTACTTGCAGTAATCATCCAGTATGGCATAGCATTAGGTGCATTATATATTTGGTAGTATGCTATAAAGTAAAGCATAGTTTCACATGTACAGAAACTTAGTTCTCTTTGGCTTAGAAGGGTCCAAATCCATTGCCGCAGGAGGTTCATTTTATTTTAGACTTACCTCCAGTTATAATTTTACCAGCTTTAGGATGCAGTTATCCCAACTCTTGAGCCAGTTTAACTGCTTGTAGCTGCTGATGGGCGTGGTCCCACAGCAGTTTACTGCTGGCTGTTGATTCCTGCTTTCTCCCTTCTATCAGTAGCACTTCTCATGATGGTCCAGTTCAACTAGGTAATGTGGCTGAAAACAATTGCCCTGTCTTCTGTGTTTTCTCTTGGACTAATGAACTTAACTGGCCAATGGAAATCTGAAACAGATAAAAGCCATGCCAAGGAAGTAGGAGGCATATGTGACTGGAAGCAGGGGAGATAGGCCATTTCAGCCTTTCATGGTACTAAGACAGTAGATGTAACAAACTCAGCCAAAGTGCACCCTGGATCTTTAATTAATGGATCTTGCTTGCTTTTGAGTTCTGTTGAATTAAAGATTGGAGTTACCTTCTGTGTCTATAGAAGTGCCTCATAAGTGTTTCAAAGTTTTTATGTCAACATGGACCATGCTATTGCTGAGATGCTTTCAATTGATTCTATAAGTAGAGAGACTTTGTCCTTAAATCAGTTTGAAATATAAAGTTTTTAGCCTCTTTTGGGTGAGAGTTTGTCCATGCTTGTTTAGCCATCATAATTTCCTCAAAACAGATTGTGAACTTGTGCATTGTTGGGTAGGTGACTCATGCTGATCACATGCTGCTTACATAAAGTCACTTCACCTCAGGGCTTTTCTAGACCATTGGCTTTGTTGTTTCCTTTGACTTTTTTGTCCTCTACTGTATTTTTTCTGTCTGGGCTTCTCCTGACAAAGTCCAGCTGATTCACAGATGTGATATTGGTTTTATGCTGGTGCTAGCTCATTAGTCAGCTTGTACAGCTGATTGCCTTTAATTCTTTTGTTTTTCCTCCTCTTTACTTAAAAAGCAAAATGAAAAAGTGTCTTTGTGTTGCTGTTTCTTTCATCTTCCGTTTTCCTTTCTACACTGTATTCTGATGTTTTGATTTTTCTTTCCCCCTTGGAGTCTGCATGAACTTCAGATAAGAAATCCTACTCTCAAATTGTTTCTTTAAACTTCTGTGTATTTAACTGTTACCGAGTTTTGTATTTTCTTCACATTCGAATGTATCTTGTTATCTCTTCCCACAAATGGTTGGCTCTAAAATTGTGCTGTCTGCCAGTTTCCTTTTTCCTTGACTCTTCTAGTCCACTTCTGTGTCTTGCCTTCCATCTTTTCCGCTCCATCAAGGAAAGCTCATTCTGTAATACTTTCAAATTTGCTTGTTTTGTAGTTGTAGGGTATATTAGGACAAGGGTTATTCTTCATGTAACTCTGCCTTCATTTACTGTTGTCCACTGTCAGACTTAGGAACCAGGGAATTTAAAGCTTTACATGGAACTGATTCTGATGTTCTGGTTTTTTGGTGTGTGTGTATCTAAAGCTGCTTCTCCTGCTTTTGGTGACTTTTGTATTCATTCTTCACACAGAGGATCTGTGTGGGTGCTGTTAAATTGGAACACATAGACAGCCTACTGGGGCTAGAACTTTGCTGGCTCTTCTAAAAGCAAATTTAGGTATTTATACTAGTATAGCTTGTCTAACATGTTAAGCATGACATTCATTGATTTGGGTTTTTTCAGGATTTAGTTTATTTGCTTTCAAATGAGACAGGGTAGGAGGTGGCGTTTGGTTGGCATGAGCTAGTTCATCAAGAACCATATAGTAGCGTATGATGCTGTCCCGCCTTTTTTCTTCCTTTGTGATAATTCTTATGATCTGTCTTCCGTGCCATACTTAAATTCTCACTCATCTCTCTAGGCAGACTAACTCTAATGTTGTTTATTTATTACCTGTTACTGCCACCTATCATACCTAATTTTCTTCTGTTGATTCCCTCTCACATGTTATTTTGAAATTACTGGTGCATAAATCCATCCTTTGTTTTTCTTTCTTTATTTTTTTCCCTTTTTTTTTTATTTTTTTTTTTTATGCTTTCCATGTTCACTGCCAATGGAATGGTGACACACCATTGGACAGTGTTGTGCTGTTGCTAATCTGAATTGTTACATAAAGTTCTCTGCAGTATTGTTTGCAGGTCACTTGATGGTAATGTAACAAAGGAGATTTTTTGCATTGCTGGGTTTTTTTTTTTCCCTGCTGTTAGGAAAAAAAAATATGCCTTAGTCACCACCTGGGGAAGTGATGACCTTTTCTTGTCATACAGTGGCATCCACCGTAGAGTCTCCAGGCACTGCTGTTTGTACAAGGTGTGGCTGGCTATATGGCCCTTTGAATCTAAGAGGGACTTTGTAAAATAAACCTGCCCTGACTTTCTTGCTGGGTTTTTTAAATGGATGAATAATCCTTTTTTTCTCTTAAATTGTAGTCAGGAGCCATCACAATTAAGATTCTACTGTAATTCTTCCTTCCTCAGTTTGCAGTATGGAGGATTCCAGTTCCAGATCTAGTACTGATAATGGGGGTTCTGTGACTGTTCCACCAGCCAGATGGGGGAGAGTTTTAGTGGGGCCCTTACATGGGACTTTTGAGAGTAGCTCAGAGGTTAGTTTCACAGAATATGATTAATGTGAAAAAGGTGGAGGAAGGAAAACGGATTGACTGAGATAAGAGTGCAGGGGAGGTTTCTTAAGAGAGATTATATCTCCCATATTCAGCAACAGCATAGATAGGTTCTCCACACTTGCACCTTTCTGAACACAAGGTTTGAAGTATAGATAATATGGCTTACTTTGCACATCACAGTGTTTTAGAAATAAATTTATAACAGAATGCTGAGTGCCTCAATCACAGTTTCTGATAATCTGCTGTTATGGTGGAGGTGTGGGCGTTTTTTGGGGGTGATCATAATTGCCTTTGAGCATGAAAGCGTGTTGCAGAAGTTAGTGCAGTGGTTCTCAGACCTCATAGATTCGGGTTCCTGTAGTAGTTTCCTCTTTGATGGTAAAGGTCATGTTGCCTATGATCTTCCCTTCATATTGTAAGAAGTAAACATTGCATATCACACGTGGCTGACAGATGTTTTGGCAAAGGAAATCAAAGAGGTTGGGAACAGAATGCAAGGAAAGGAAAAAAAATCTTGATGAAATTGTCTTACAGGCATTTTTGTTCAGATACTCTAGACCTGAATTTCCCTATTTTAAAAATCATTGGCATAATGTGCTCAGCAGAGTGACCAATTGTTGTTCTGAGACTGTGGGGCATAGTTGCTACTTGAGGAAGGGAAATGACAATAAAACTGATGAGTCTCTTCTGCTTTAGGGAAAGAAAAGAAATTTTCTCCCTTCTCTCATTTTTCCCCATTAGTTTTTTGTTGGAAAATAAAAAACTGTCCAGTTCATTCTGTCCTTTTCCCTTACAGCCAGTTTTCTAGCACGCTAAGGCTGCTTCCACCCAATTCAAAACACCCTAGCCACATTTTTAGCTTTGTTTCAGCAGTTTTTTCTGTCATAGGAGTTTTCTGTGACCTGTGGTCACACAGTCAAACACAGACATTTCTAGTGCTAGGAGAGTTGTTTTGCTTCCTTTTGTAAGATTGATGACAATGTCTAGCTTAGGAGCCTGGGCATCTCCCTAGAAGAGAATTTCACTAAGTAGCATGGAAGAGTTCATGGGAGGTTGTCAGGTTCTTAGCTGTTTGATTTTTTTTCTTCATTTTGTGACCTCATGTTCAACAGGATCATAGAATTGCTTTCATTTTTGTGCATTTTCTGTCAGGATGAAGACTCTAAAAACCTACTGGGACTACAAGGAAGCTGCATTAAGTTATCAAGAAGCCTGGAGAGTGCTGCGTAGCCAAGCTCTGCTGGGTTGGGTCAAGAATGCCAAGGAATACCTGCACTTCACATGAGAATCCATGCAACTGTGTGAATCCAGGAATAAGCTCTGGTCTACAGCAGATACCTCTGCAGTTCAAGGACCAGAAAAATACGCGCTCTAGTTTATGTGCTGTAAAGAGACAGGAGTGAAAAGGAAAGCAATTTAGAGAATACTTTATTTTTACTGAGTTGAATCCCCCTTTTTATTGAAATACAGAAAAGGATCATTGCTGACTTAAAATTCTGAGCTGCATGAAACAATATCCCTCCAAAAGGAAAGAAGCAGTGATGTGCTATCCTAGTATCTGAGGATATGATCTACCAGCCATAGTCCCTGCAGTGAAAGTAATATCAACTGAAATCGAAGCAGTACCATGGAAAAGTTTAGTGCTGCTTTTCTCTTCCACTTCTCATAATGTTGTGGTTGTTTTTCTGTTGCTGAAACAACCCTAATGTATAGTAAGTAATACTTTCATAACTCTGAGCTCTTTTTGTCTGGTGACTGGAAGAATTTTCTGTGTCCCCCAGCCCCATTGCTTTAACTAGAAAAACTAGTTCTGTTAAAGTGTCTTTTTTTTTCTGGGAATCTTTCATATATGCTGCTTTTTATTAAACATAGCCATAGATATCACCACAGCAGAAGCAAAAGCACTGGGGAGGAGTCTGTGTCAAATAATACCACTTATGCTATCTTGTGCATCTCAATTTCAGGACTTTGCCAGATAACCTTTCATCTGCTTCTGTAGGAAGGAAAGCAAGCTCCTGAATGACTTGGTTCAAATTAGCCAATCCTATGTAATTACAGGCATACATTTATCTAATTTTAAGTGTTTCAAGCACTGTCCATCTCCGTGCCCTCCCTGTGGGAAATGGTCAATTAAAAGCAGAATTGCTTCAGCCATTTATGTCACTGTTCCTTATGTTCATTAATAGCCTGGCAAAGGTGGAGATGCTTTGGGGTGTATTGAAAGTAGTCTCTGGCATGTCTCTTCTAGTCCCTTGTCATTATGCTTTATTACCAACTAACATCTGCATGGCAAGACAGCCAACATTGTGAGCAGCTGTGGAGGAAGCAGTGGGAAATCTTCCTTAAACCTTCTGTCCCAGGTATTGCCTTTTATGAGCAATTTCAGGATTGTGTAACTGCTACTGAGCACATTCCCCTTTTTGTGTTTTCTCTTGTAAACCACAATTCATACAATATTTGGACAAGGCAATGTCAGGATGAAAGAATTGGATAATTTAGAACTTAAAAATTCTTTAGTGATACGATTTTTTGTTGTTCTTGGGTATCTTATAGTTTTGGATTTGAAAAATGGGCACAGCAGTTCTCCAAACAGCCTTTGCTGTCAACCTACTGAGCTACATATGGGACCAAACAGTACAGGTAACATTATAGTCTGAGAATTGATAGCAACGAATTCTTTTTACTTCACACTAACGTTTACTTGTCAAGTAAGAGTAGTTCTCTTGCTGAAGAAATAACAGCTTGAATTCTGTGCAGATATTCCCATTCGCTCAAATCCAGCACTAACATGCAGAAAGACCAGTTGTACTGGTGAGGGGGAAGTAATTTTATGTGTTTGTAGAGGGCAAGGGATTATGGAGATTAGGGACTTGCAGTAGTCATCAGAGGATAAAAAATGGCCAGATGCCATTGCACATGCACTGCATGGTGAACTGCTGAAGATAAATGGTAATTGAGCAAGCACCATTCCAAGGGCAGAGTTCTATAATGTACCTAAAGAGCTATCAGTAGATTTCCAGGTTCCTGAAATTTACCTTTGTTCTTCACTGAAATCAAACTATTAATTTACCATACCTAGTTTCACATAGTTAATCAACAATGTCTGCAGTGAACCTGCTGACCAGACTGGAATGTTCCCATTTCCTATCCAGCTGCAATATTAAAATGGTTTATGTAAGACTAGCTCTGTAGACTTTCATCAGAGTTTTCAGATAAGCAGTTACACAGTTTAAATTCTTTAACTCTTTTCTAAAATTTGAGCCTAGCTGTTAGGATTGTTCCTTGTAAGATTTTTTGTGCATTTCTAAAATACTTGTGAACTGTAGACTGCTGCTTTTCTGTTACTTCTCAGGTTTAAAAGTAGTTTTTGAGGTGCTGAACACTGATACTAACCTCACTTTTTGGATGGAGTTGAGGACATGTTTAAGCCTAGAGCAAGTCAGTGAAGAGAGGGAAGGAGCTGAAACAGAACAGCATTTAAAAGGCTGAGGGGCTAAGCCTGTGGGATCTCATCCTCAACTGGATGGTATTTCTGTGGTGGAAAATCAGTATTTAAAAGCTGCATCTGTTTCATTCCAAAATGTCAGGAAATGCTGTTGGCAGTACCATGAAACTGCTCTAAAAATCAGAAGGGAAAAATGAAGAGATAGGAAAGACCAGTCTCTGCTTTTGTGAAAGGTAGCAACCTAAATTTGGATCATTGTCAGCAAGTCTTTGGAAGAATTGCTCCTGGAAAGTAACAATTGACGTGTTCCAAGCCTGTATCACTCCTGTGCGCTGGGATAGCTGACACCCCGAAAAACAAAGATATGCAAGGCATGGCGAGGACAGTAGAATGTAGAGGCTCTGCCACAGGAGAGCAGAATTAGCAAGGAGTGAAGTAGCCAGCATGAAGTGCCCACAGTGCACAGTTAATGAGGACAAGCAACCAACTGGAAGTGGGAGCAGCAGAGCATAGGAGTAGGAGGGCACCAAGATTCCCACTGTATGTGTAAAATGACCATATCTGTATTAGCCAGCTAGGTCCTTGCCTTTGCTAAACATTTTTGGGGACCAGTGGCTCCTAATTTCCAGGACAAAGAAACTGTAATCATTGAGTGGGATGTCTTTAACAGGGTCACTATTAGAGACATCAGCCTGTTTTCATCATAGTAAAAAGGCAGGACAGATTGCCTGCTTATCTATAAGGAAGTCAAAACCGGAGCACAGAAACAAGTGGCTTTGTCCAAGGGTAAGAGTTATCAATCTGTTTGACCTTGAGGCTGCAGTTCCATGAGACCAGATGCTAGCTTCCCACTGTCTTTGGAAAAGCAAGGGTTTTTGATCTTTACAGTGTGCTTCCACTGCTCACCTTAACACAGGCTGTGAGGCTTTACTGATCTCAGTGCATTCTGAGTAAATTGAAGACTACTGAAATTACTGTATTTGTAGAAAAACAAGCCATGAGCAAAAACAAGTTGTAGCCTTTCATTAGGAGTTAAATAGACCTCTGCAATAAATCCGTTAAGCACTGGAGGAAAGGAAGAGCTAGAGTTGTGCTGCTGAGGGCAGGAGAATTCTGATGGCAAGGAGGAAAGTTGTTGGAGTTTTCTCTCAGACTATCTGATAATGTCATAAGAGGGCTGCAGCAATGATAGGTACGTAATATATACAAATAACATATATACATGTAAAAGCAAGATAATTTTTGAGGAAAGACTATCTAAATGGTCCAGATTTGGCCTGAATTCTAAATATTTACTGAATACTAATTTCATCCAGTACTGGTTTAGTTATATTGGAAATGATATTTAAATTTAGTGTAAAGATAAGCGACAGAGGTGTTGACATAGAGGAACAGTGAGGTATTTCTTTGTTTTTTGTTCAGTGCATAAATTGTAGGGTTAACAGAAAGTGAAGATTATATGGGATCAAATGCTTTATATAATTTTACAAGAGTGTACTATTTAAAGGGATGCATATCGGCTATGCATTTCAAAAGGAAACCTCTTGATGTTTTATTGCAAGTGTACCTGCAGATGAAAAGTGAAGTTATTGCTGTAGAATATTTATCCTTACATTCTCACATCAAAAATTTTCACATTAATGCGTGAAAAGGAAGTTAGAAGTAATTCAGGACGGAGGCACTGACAGAATGTTTCCTAAAGCAGTGGTTTACAATGCAGCACTATTCTGAATAATGAAAGGCTTACTGAGATCAACAGCACATTTTCAGATGTATTAAGCACATGCATCACATTTATTGTGGCAAGCCTCAGTAATAGGGTAGTGTCAACATTTCACAAGCTCCCACATTCATATTTTGCAGTCCTTCTGCCAGTATTTGTGAATGACTGCAGAGCTAAACAATTATAGGCATAATGTATCTTCATGGGGATTTGAGTTAGTAGGAATTTGATTTAAGTTTGGAAAGTGGTAAATTTCCACTGTAACTGGAAGCATTTTAAAAACTAGATTCTTAGGCACCACATAGTGTGTAAATGAATTAAAACTTTTAACAGGAATCTAAACTGTGTATTTAGTGTTTCCTTGCTGGCTTAGGAAGGTCAAGGTGATGCTACTTCTTCAGCCCAGTGTTGGCCTTTAATATCAGAGTGTGAACTGCAGCACTGTGCAGTTAGGTCAGCTGGTTTTTCCACCCTCTCCCACACAATCCAAGGGCTTGCCTCCTTGCCTGTAAATAGAAGTAGCTGTGAGATATGGTAGCTCTGAAGCTATTGGTTTTGAAACCTACAAAGACCTCCTTGTTTCCTCCTGGTACCATCAGCCACGCACTGAAGTTGGAGAAGCTGTACAATGTCTAGTAAGTAATGGAAGCAGCTGGGTAGCATCTAGTAAATGTGACAAGTAACTTTCTGGCCAAAATGAAGGTAAAGAAATGACAGCATTGCCTGTTTGTGACAGGAATTTTTATTGTATTTGTTTGTTAATTGAGAAAGAGGAACATACTAGCTCCATTCAACACGATCAGCATCTTGCTCCTGGCTTTGGATAAACTAGTAATCCAGTGCTCCCAATACTAATGCATTGTTTTTATTTTTCTTAAACTGACATCTCAAAAAAACAGAATAACTGTGTGTTCTTCTCTTTGTGTTTTAGTAGCCCAACTACTTTGCTTTATTATTTAATCAATGAAATCAAATGTATACCCCCCAAAGGACTAAGGCTCTGGGAGTTCATAGCCATGAGAAAAAAAATACACAAAACCAACAAAACTTTCTTTTTATAATTTAACAGTCTAATAAAACAAGACCTAGCAATATATTAAGAAATAAATCCAGTTACAAATGCATGTATATAGAAGAAACTTCTGAGGGTGTCAGAACAGAAAATGATCAGCTATTTACAAGATACACAACAGAATGGTACAGTAGCCAAGACCCACCATTCAGAAACCAAATGTGTTCTCTCCACTGTAGGCAACATACAAGAATCCATCCTCATCCTTTTCCTTCTCATAAAGTTGTCCCATAGTTAAGCTTGAAAGGGAAAAAAAGAGAAATAATTTGCTTGGCTTATTAACAGTTAGAACCTCACATAAACGCGGATTAATAAAAGCTAAAACTTCTAAGTCTGTGAATAGGTTAGAATACAAAAAATGAGGATAAATAAAAAGCAGGTGACTCCTAAGAGAAATGATCCTGGACTCTCTGCAGAGTAAACATTTTTATATTTCTTCACAAATGCCTTTGGCAGAATGCTTCCTTATTTTGTTGGAAATTGGTCTCTTATTTTGAAAACAACAAGAGACCCTTGCAATTAGGTGGCTGGTCAACTGCTCCAACAATCTATCTACAGATAGTTGGAGCAGTAGACATGAGTCAGGTGCACAAATAAAGCCTCCTCAGCTCAACTTTCTCTGACTTCCCAAAACTGAGAAAAGGCTAATGAACTGAAGGATGGAGACTGGACGTGAGTGACAGGGAAAACAGTGATGCCATTCTGCCCAAGAGAGGAGCTGGGTGGATTTGTAAGCAGTACTTAAAATGGAAGAGAATTGGTGACTTGTAGATAGATCACCACCCCTTGACATCCTTCTCTTCTCATACAGAAGTTTATGTAATAAACTCAAGCCTGTGACATTAGCGGAGTCACAAACAGATTGTGTTTTTGTTTATTGGTTAAGTAGTTACCATTTTTACATTAATATTGAATGATCAAAGTCCTGTTTTCTAGCTGAGATGTGACATCTCATTATGAAGATATGATCTCTCCTGCTCCTAGCAATTCTATATTACTGTTGTAAAGATGACATGTAGCCATTCTCAGTATGGTTAGAAGAAAACAAGCAGAAAGGGATGATTCTTATGGGTCCCTATTGTGTATCAGGTTTTCTGATACAATTAAGTATTAAGAATAATATCACATCTAAGGCATGTAAAGACATACTATTTCCTTAAATGTTACTAAAGTATCTTCTGCAGAAAGTTGTAGTAGCTACTTCTGCTATATTCTGTACGTAGCAGAAAACAATAAAATTTATTCCTATAGAAAAGAAATGCAAAAAACCTTTCTATTGCAATTATTCTTTTCTTTTATAGAAGAAAATTATTTTAAAAAAAGAACCAGAAACTAGTCTGTAGTGTTATAATTTCTTTGTAAACTGACAGGTTACTGGGTTTTTTCAGAACAATTTATGGCATATGTTGTTGAGTAATGTGCAACTTTTTTTGCTATACTGAAAATCACTGGTTTTTGACATTGATGTACGTGTTTTTGCACTCAACCACATGCAAGAACATTGTAATTGCAAAGCTCACTCTTTTGCCACAGAAGTAATAGCATATTTTTCAGTCGCCTTTCCTTTCAGCCTAGCTCAAGAAATAAGATGTTTATCAAATTCATGAGAAAAAAAAAAAAACTTTTAGTGAGATTAAGATGTGACAAACATCTCCTAGAATCACCAAATGAGCCTCAAAGAGTGGTGTTACTGGCCCTCTAATATGCACAGGCTTGCTGAAATGATTCTGAATACCAAGTGAATAGTCTCTCACCTGGATTGTGGGACAGTCTTGTCTACAAAGAGGAATATTGCCTTCTCAGATGGCAGTTGAATCCTCTTCCTGATGATCCACATGAACTGGGCCACGGTGATGTCAGATGGAACTAAGTACTTCCTCTTGTCAATATCAACAATCTGAGATCCTGAGACCTTCTCCACTATGACCTGTAAAGTGCAGGTATGAAGGTCAGGCTGTTCAGGATTGGTACGAACAGACAGCTTTGGTAGATTGCTTGCTCATACAGGCTTACAATGGTGAGCAGAGGGGATGAACAAAAATGGTTTCCTGACCGCAACCAAATCAGAGGTTGAACTGGCTCAGCACTGTAAAACCTGATTTTTCAACTGCACTGAAACCTACATTCATATACACAATGGCTTGAAACTTCCCGTGCCTGTGTTTGGCAGTCATGGGGTAAAAAGGTGCATTATGCCTTAAAGACACCTGTGACATGAAAGTACACACATCACTGAACTTTTGTACACTGATGATAATAGTGTAGCTAATAGCTACTAATAGCTAATAGTGTCCTGGACTGCATTAGGCAAAGGACTGGGATCAGATCCTTCCCCTGTAGTGGTACTGGTGAGGCTACCTTTGTATTTTGCTGAACTGACATACTGCTTCGGAAACCAGAAATTGACTACAGGAAGGAAAGACAGCAAGATGGCCACAAACAAAACCAAACAAAAATCAACAAACCAAACAAAAAGCCACAGGTACAGGGGAAAGGGTAATTCAGTTCTGCTTGTGAAAAAGACCCAATGCTTATTGTACTATGCTACTTGATTCTTGAAGGAAAAATACAGCAGGTAAGGAAATAGGATTTACAATAGCTTCCAGGGTCTCCATTCCTTAGCTCTGCATTCCACTTGAAACATTACGATTGAAAAACACTTCTGACTATTAAATTGATTCCAACTATTTGGTATCAATGGTACGTGGTTCAGTTTGAATCATCAAGCAGAAAACACACACCGGTCCAGACAAAGGATTGCTGCAATTTGACATTTAATTCCTGTATCTGTCTACACCTTGCTGTCCGTTCCTGATACAGTGTAATTCGGACTCACACTATAAGTTTCTAAGTTTCTTTTTTCCCCTAAGGTTACCAAGGATATTTTTGAAATGGGTAGATTGATACTGTGGAGACGTATGGTCATTAAGGATACTGCAGTCTGTGTGATAATGGGATATGTGGAATAGTTAGACAAGAGAGAACAGCAAGGATCATACCAGTTTATCAAACTGCAACTGGAGAAAATCTTGTGACTAGATGCAACTGGGCAGCAGAAAAAGTCAATGAGAATGAAGATTCTTCTCTGGGCTGTGCTAATGGGTAAGTTACTTACCAAAAGGTGAGAGGCAGGAGTGGCACTAACAGGCAGTGTGGTCAGATGGGATGTGGAAAATTTTACACTCAAGCAAGTAAGCTGACAGTTTGGATATGTTGCTAGCTGTTATACGTAAGGATGTGAACTGTAGTCTTTTCAGAGGCTGAAACATGGTTAAAGGGATTGGGGAGAGAAGAAGTGAGGTCATTCGCTGTTTAGCAGATTGGTAGGTATTAATGCAAAAAGGAGGGGTCACCATTTGCATTGGCTCTTCAAACAGGGTTTGCATTGTGAAATTCACCGTGACGACTGGTTATAGACATGGAATACATGAGGGTTATAATCTAACTCATTTAGCCAGAAAGGAAGATGGTCAAGGTTTCAAGAGTCTTCATAATATTTCTAAGAATCAGGCACAATCTTCAAGACAATGAAGGTGTTTGCTGGGATATAATTGCCATTAGGAGAAAGCAGGACCATGATATAAAAATCCGTGGTGTTTAGAAAGCTTATTTCTCAATATGCAGTGGGGCAGAAGATGAAATGCTGGAGTAGTTAGATGTGTTTGGGGCTTCTTTAAAACTTCTAAGGACACAAGAAAGAAAATTAATTTGCTTAGCAGGAACTCATCAGAGTGGGCAGGATGGAAACCGTTTATCCACCTTTGCCTCTAAGTACTCTGTTGAAGCTGGCTTGGTTACTCACCGGGACACGGTCGGGGTATTTGGCTCGGATTTTTGCGGACTCGACACATCTGTGCTCTGTGAACAAAACTCGTAGTTAGTCATTGCATAGTAGTAATAATACTGCCGGTGTCCTAGGCCGAGAGGGCAGCGCAGGTAGGGCCGTGAGCCCGCGGGGATCGCAATCATATTCCCGCCTCCGAGCGGGTCTCTAGCTTTTCGAGGAGACCATCCCCGGGCATCGCACCACCCTTCGGCGCGGGCCGCCAGCGGCTGTCCGCCCACAGACGAGACGACCGCTTGGGGAAGCTGACCGCGACAGATGGCGACGCGGGAGACTGATGGCAGCGGGGCCGCTGCCATGCAGCGCCTGGCCCGGATCCACCCTTACCCAGCGCGTGGTCCTCCTTGAACATCCACTTCATCGTGCAGGCGGGCGGGGAGCGTAGCCAGAGGCGGCGAGGCCCGTGTGCGGGGGGCGGGGGTTCGTGCCGGGCCTGTCGCTGTCACGGTCCCTGTCACAACAACAGCCGCG